GCCACCAACCTCCTGTGATATACAACAACTTGTAGGTGTTATTTATATAAAAGGACAGTACGCTGTTGTATTCTGATTTAAATTAGTGTATTTTTTATTTTGTACTGTGACCACACTTGAGACTTAGCTGGGATTTGAACTTAAAACCTTTGTCGTTAGCAACCTGAAATGTCCTGCTAAATTTTCTGCTACACCACTAGGTCTGTGAACATAAAAGAGATATGGCTACAGATTTATTGACAAGAAGACATTTCTGCACTTTGCTCAAATCTGCCTAGAATCTATTAAATCATTGTTCAATTATCACCACCAATGTTAAATCAACATAAAACTAGCAGTGCTCAAGGACACTTGACATAGAGTATACATGAACACTTCAGGGATTTGAACTTGCAACCGCTTGGTTGAGCGCATCATTGTTTCTGCAGTGCCACCAGCTTCATACTTATTGTTTGGAATATGTATTAATTAACACACTAAAAAATAAGTGAATGGTTAGGGTACAGCGTTGTTCCCTGGGGTACAAAAAAGTGAAAAGTACACTTCACAGGTACACATATGAACTCACATGGTACCTTGTAGGTATAATGGTGAATTGTTCTACCCAATATTTGGAATTTAAGAAATGCTCATCATTGATAGGTGGGGGCAAAATACTGGTGGGGTCATGATATGGTCAAATATACAGCACCAGTCAAAAGTTTGGACACACCTACTCATTCAAGGGTTTTTCTTTATTTTTTACTATTTTCTACATTGTAGAATAATAGTGAAGACATCAAAACTATGAAATAACACATATGGAATCATGTACTAACCAAAAAAGTGTTAAACAAATCTAAATATATTTTAGATTTTAGATTCTTCAAAGTAGCCACCCTTTGACTTGATGACAGCTTTGCACACTCTTGACATTATCTCAACCAGCTTCATGAGGTAGTCACCTGGAATGCATTTCAATTATCCTCTAAGGGATCGGTGTCCATTATATGGGACGGTTGTTGCTCAATATGCGATATGTGACTAGAATGGTGTTGTAAACAACAGCCAACTTTCTGGGACACCGATTCTTGTTAATCTAACTGCAGTGTCTAATTTACAGTAGCTATTACAGCTAAAAAATATGCTATTGTTTGAGGATAGTGCACAACAACAAAACACTTTTATCACGGCAACTGGTTTAGTACATTCACCTCTGAAGGTAAATACCGTACTTACATTCAGTAATCTTGCTCTTATTTGTCATCCTGAGGGTTCCAGAGATAAAATGTAGTGTAGTTTTGTTTGACATTTTTTTATATATATTAAAACGTAGGAACAGGGTTCTACGGTTTGAACTCTGACTCCACACTCACCCCGCCCGGCCATCTAGATGTGTGAAGGTTAGTGTCTTTTATGTAGGGAAGCTAATGATCCATCATTTATGACATTCCTGGGAGTGTGCAAACTTAAATGTTGTATTACCATAGCATTTTTGTATGTTCTCTATACTTATATACTTGAAAACCAATTCGGCACATTTGGGAAAACTCCTGGCAGATTTGATACACAATATTGTGTAGTGATGTAATTCTTCACTGGATCAGTCTGGAACTTTGCACATACACTGTTGCCATCTGGTGGACAACATCTAAATTACATCTAGAATCCTACATCACTGTCTGCCCTTTCTCTTGCATTTCAAAGATGATACAACAATTTTTTAAAAATGTTTTATTTTCTTTTACCAGACCTAATGTGTTATATTCTCCTACATTAATTTCACATTTCCACAAACTTCAAAGTATTTCCTTTCAAATGATATCAAGAATATGCATATCCTTGCCTCAGGTCCTGAGCTACAGGCAGCTAGATTTGGGTATGTCATTTTAGGCGAAAATTGAAAAAAAAGGTCTGATCCGTAAGAGGTTTTTAACAGGTGTGCCTTGTTAAAAGTTAATTTGTGGAATTTATTTCCTTCTTAATGCATTTGAGCCAATCAGTTGTCTTGTGACAAGGTAGGGTTGGTATACAGAAGATAGCCCTGTTTGGAACAGCTCAAATAAGCAAAGAGAAACAACAGTCCATCATTACTTTAAGATATGAAGGTCAGTCAATCAGGAACATTTCAAGTGCAGTCGCAAAAACCATCAAGCACTATGATGAAACTGGCTCGTATGAGGACTGCCACAGGGAAGGAAGACCCAGAGTTACCTCTGCAGAGGATAAGTTCTTTAGAGTTACCAGCCTCAGAAATTGCAGCCCAAATAAATGCGTCACAGAGTTCAAGTAACAGACTCAACATCAACTGTTCAGAGGAGACTGCGTGAATCAGGCCTTCATGGTCGAATTGCTGCAAAGAAACCACTACTAAAGGACACCAATAAGAAGAAACTTGCTTGTGCCAAGAAACACGAGCAATGGACATTAGACCGGTGGAAATCTGTCCATTGGTTCGATGAGTCAAAATTTGAGATTTCTGGTTCCAACCGCCGTGTCTTTGTGAGACGCAGAGTAGGTGAACGGATGATCTCCGCATGTGTGGTTCCCACCATGAAGCATGGAGGAGGCGGTGTGATGGTGTGGGGTTGCTTTGCTGGTGACACTGTCTGTGATTTATTTAGAATTCAAGGCACACTTAACCCGCATGGCTACCACAGCATTCTGCAGCGATACGCCATCCCATCTGGTTTTCGAGTAGTGGGACTATCATTTGTTTTTCAACAGGACAATGACCCAACACACCTCCAGGCTGTGTAAGGGCTATTTTACCAAGAAGGAGAGTGATGGAGTGCTGCATCAGATGACCTGGCCTCCACAATCACCCAACCTCAACCCAATTGAGATGATTTGGGATGAGTTGGACCGCAGAGTGAAGGAAAAGCAGCCAACAAGTGCTCAGCATAATTCTGAACTCCTTCAAGATGGTTGGAAAAGCATTCCAGGTGAAGCTGGTTGAGAGAATGCCAAGAGTGTGCAAAGCTGTCATCAAGGCAAAGCGTTGCTACTTTGAAGAATCTAAAATCTAAAATATATTTAGATTTGTTTAACACTTTTTTGGTTACTACATGATTCCATATGTGTTATTTCATAGTTTTGATGTCTTCACTATTATTCTACAATGTAGAAAATAGTAAAAATAAAGAAAAACCCTTGAATGACTAGTTGTGTCCAAACTTTTGACTGGTGCTGTATATTTGACCATATCATGACCCCACCAGTATTTTGCCCTCACCTATCAATGATGAGCATTCCTTAAATTCTAAATATTGGGTAAAAAAAAGTACCATGAATGAGTAGGTGTGTCCAAACGTATGACTGGTACTCTGTAGCTCAGCTGGTAGAGCATGGCGCTTGTAACACCAGGGTAGTGGGTTTGATCGCCGGGACCACCCATACACAAAAATGTATGCACGCATCACTGTAAGTCGCTTTGGATAAAAGTGTCTGCTAAATGGCATATTTTTAAAATATTTTTTTTATGTGTATGCGCATTTGGAAGGTAGCTTAGTGGTTAAGCGCGTTGTGCCAGTAACCGAAAGGTTGCTGGTTCTAATCCCCGAGCAGACTAGGTGAAAAATCTGTCAATGTGTCCTTGAGCAAGGCACTTAACCCTAATTGCTCCTGTAAGGCGCTCTGGATAAGAGCATCTGCTAAATGACAAAATAATAAATAAATGTAAAGTGTTTGATGCTGATGCAAGTTGAGCACCTTCTTTGACACTGTCTGTTCTGCAAACTTTGTAAGAGCAAGTGTCACTAATGAGCTGCTCTGTAAAAATGTTATTGTGTATTTCCCAGTAATTTTACATTAACTTAACTGGAAACCATTTGTCAGTAAATTATTGTAAAGTTCATAATAACACACAGGCAACTGGCTGCCACTTGCAATACATGCCAGTAACCTACTGTGCCTTCAGTGACTCTTCTGTTGACATACATTACTTGCTAATTGGCAGCATACTGTAGCAGTGGCATGCTTGTGCCTTCCCAAAAACTAAAACTCAAGCCTTTCCTGAGGTCGTTGGTGCCCTCTGCTGTTAGACAGTGGTAAGTACACCTGCACACTGCTCAAACTTAAGTTTAAGTTTATAGCCTCAAACATGCAGGGGATTTGTTTTGGAAAACATTGTATCCCCATAGTGCTGGGATAGGGAAAACATACTCTACATTATAAATCCTGTTGCTAAATCAATCAACCAATTAATTAATCAATAAATTAATCAACCAATCCATCGGCCAGTTAACTTCATTAGTTATGAGGTACCTCAGTATACTGCAGCACAGCTCAGTGGAGAGACAATTTATATAAAATTCAAGAGATATGCCCAACATTTTAACAGTAGAAAAACAACATGAAACAGCTACATGATCTGCTCTTTACACAATCACTCAATAGATTATAGTATTTACCTAAAACAGAGGAAGATCAGTCTGTGAGTGTATGAGAGTGTGTGCGTCTGTGATTAAGTGCTTGAATTAATCTGTATCGCTGAAGTTATAGCGCGATTGAAATTTAAAGGTAATTTCCGATTGAGCTGAGATATGCGGTCTCCACTAACGTGGGGAAATTGCCTTTAAATTCCTATGCGCTGTAGCGCAGCTCTTCAGCGCTACGGATTGAATCGAGCCCAAAATATGTTTGTGAGAGAGAGGGATAGGAGGGGAGGACATATTAACAAAAGCAATAATCATAAGGAAGGGAGACAGTAAAAGAGTAAAAATAAATACAGTAAAAGTATAATAAATCTCTCCAATCCACCTCCAATAATCTTTATTCATGAACATTGTTCATCCCTGCCACATCTTATTTACATATGTAACCGGTGTGAAATGGCTAGCTAGTTAGCGGTGCACGCTAGTGGCATTTCAATTGATGACATCACTTGCTCTGAGACCTTGAAGTAGTTGTTTCCCTTGCTCTGCAAGGGCTGTGGCTTTTGTGGCACGATAGGTAGCGATGCTTCTTGGGTGACTGTCGTCAATGTGTTCAGAGAGTCCCTGGTTCAAGCCCAGGTTGGGGCGAGGAGAGGGACGGAAGCAACAGTCTGTGTGTGATATAGCCATATATGAACTCATAAGTTAGTAAATCGTTATCTATTGGAGAAACATCTCATATAGATCATTCAGGCCATAAAGGATGAGAAGAGAAAGAGAGGAGCACCCAGTAGAAAGGGTGGAGATTTGAACACGCACACTGAGAAAGGAGGACCGCGGCTGTATGTTATCTAGGGGTTGGTCTGTATTTGTGTCTATATTGCAAGTGTCTACATACAAAGTATGCTGTATGTGTTAAGTCTGTCTGTTTCTCTACAGAAGGCAAATCTATGGTTATGTCTACAGTCTTTGACTGTCAGTTTGCATAGCAGGTCAGTCTCTGTAAGAGGTCAAGTCAGTCATAAGAGTAAGTATTTAGGTCGGTCTCTGTCAGTATTTAAGGCATCAGTCTGTCAGAGATCAGTCTCTAAAAGATGTCAGTCTCTTTGAGGGGAGGGTATAGGTTAGGGGACTGTACAGCGGTCTGGTCTTCTCTCCCAGTGGACCTCACTAGTCATACAGAGGAGAGCACCTCCCCTGACGTCTCTCTCTCCCTCTCCTTCTGTTCGGCTCTCTCCACATCCATCACGGTGAAGGGGTGTTCTTTGACCAGTTGGACGCGGTCTGCCCTTAAGCTGCTCTGGACCTCGCGGTATTTGGTGGAGGTGAAGTCAGTCTTGGAAAGGACCTCAGTATAACGTCTCTTCAGCTCAGGGTCGGGACAGAACAAGTACTCATACAGAGTTGCAGCTATCACACCGCCCAGCACTGGGCCTACCCAGTACACCTGAGATGAGACAGAGGGAGAACTGTTAGTATAATGTAGATACCTGTGTGTGTATGTATGTATGTATGTATGTATGTATGTATGTATGTATGTATGTATGTATGTATGTATGTATGTATGTATGTATGTATGTACGTACATACGTATGTATGTACGTACATACGTATGTATGCATGTATGTGTCCCTATGTGTGTCTATGGGTGCGTCAGTGTGAGAGCATAGCAGTGTGTGTGATGTATCTGATGTATATAAGTGAAGTTGTGAGAGAGGAATGTATGCGCTTGTGTTTGAGTGATTGCATGTGGTTGTATAATGTTGTGTGTAGCTTGTGTATGGTTGTGTATGGTTGTATGTGGTTGTATATGTTTGTATGTGGTTGTATGTGCATTGTGTATCATTTGTTCTCTCTTACCCAGTGGTTCTCCCAGCTCCAGGTGACCATGGCAGGTCCAAATGATCGAGCAGGGTTCATACTGGCACCAGTGTAGGGGATCTAAACAGAGCAGTATAGAGATATTACACACATATACTAATTGGGACATTCCAACCAGAGGACTTGTGTAGTGTAGTTTCCATGGTTATTTTGGCCCCAGGTAGCAATATGGCCAGTTTGGCAAACCATCATGGATCCAAACTCCTACACTGGCGATTGCAATGGAACATTCAGTAATTTTGTTAATTAACAGGTAATCTATGAAAATCTATGGTAACTTTTGTAATTTATACTTGAACAACATGTGTTATTCAAAATGTTTTCATATATACAGTAGTATTCCGTTTTTATATCTGTGTCCATATTGTCCATGAGTTTCTAGTCGATGGATAGACCATATGGTTCAAGAGGAAATAGCCATACGCGGGGCTCTAAAGTGCGACGGAATATTTTGCTGTGCGACCAGAAGTTTTATTTTGGGAGCACTGTGGGACTATGAAAAAAATATCCAAGATAATAATTGTTGTAATGATAAGGCTTTCCTGTACCGTTGTTTCCGAGTGCTTTAGAGAAACAAGCGAGAGCAGATTCGTTTGTGTGAAGGTTGCATCATTACTACAGCGAAAACGGCTTGCTTCTAGCCCAACCAGGTCAAAAGATCTGACCGATATTCCCGGCGCAACATTTCTATCTTCCTAATGCTGGGACCGCATTTTACATTAAAAAACCATGTCGTGGGCTGTTCTAAAACTACTCGCGCGTCGACGTTGTTAACCATTTGTTTTCACTTTGTTCAGTCATGTTACCTCATTGGCTAGCTTCCTAACAAGCTGGTAACTTTAACCAGTACATCTAAAAATTTGGGGGCACAGAAGGAAAGGAAAAGGAGATCAATGACCATGGCAATGAACGAAAGACAGATCGCTTGCATGTCTTCATCACAAACCTGATGTTTTTAAAGAGACAGTTTGCCATTTAATGTAACGCATGTCAATAGCAAAATTGTGCTTTTACACTGGGGGGTGTCGTCACTAGTTACCACAGCCACAATGTCATAATTATGCCTAAACCCTGCCTATTTCTACTATTTCTCTTCTTAAAATCCGATTTTAAACTTAACCCTAAACGTAACCACACTGCTAACCATACACCAAACCCTAACCTTACATTAAGACCAAAAATATTTTGTTTTCATGAATATTTACAATAAAGCCATTTATGAATTTGTGGCTGTGGTAACAATGTAGAAACCTAATATCCCATTAACATTTGAGTCATTTAGCAGACGCTCTTATCCAGAGCAACTCACAGTTAGTGAATACATTTTTCATACCGCCCCCCCGTGGGAATCGAACCCACAACCCTGGCATTGCAAGCGCCATGCTCTACCAACTGAGCTACAGGAGGCACTAATGACTTTGTAATTTCAATAAAAGGTATTCGTATCAACATTTTAGCTTTTATAATAAACTAATGTATTTACAGTGTTACATATTAGTTTCTAGGCCACAACATGTGCTTCAAAAGTAGCTAGAACTCATATAGGCCCAATACATGCTGTATCTCAATCAATTTACAAAATGTTATTTTCTGGTGCTCCTTAATTTCATTTGGTGCTCCTAACTTATTTTATTTGGGAGCTCCAGTGCTACCAATGAAATGTTTTAATTTAGAGCCCTGGCCATAGGTCAGACCTACCTCTTCAAAGAGTATCTTTAATAATCCCACAGCACCCCCACCCTGCAAAAACATAACATTACATAAAAATAACTAACACCATTTCAATTTGTGAACTCACACTCACGCTTGACTTTTTCCTACGAGACTGCCTTTGCTGATAGCTAATTTATTTAGGAAAAATGTATAACTGAGATGTGGTTGTCTCACCTAGGCATCTTAAAATGAATGCACTAACTCTAAGTTTCTCATGAAAAGAGCGTCTGCTAAATTACAAAAAAATGTAATGTAAAATGTAGCCTGATTAATGAAAAAAGCATCTAATCAACAATGGCATTATTTTAAATTAACTATGCAACTCTTCCAACTACTGTCTTTTTTGGTGCCAAAACATTTACAACAAAGACTAATTGACATAGTAAAATAAATAAAAGTGTGTAAAAACACTCATGAATGGTATTCACTAAGTTGATGGTTTATATTTATGATGTTTTACAGCTTTGTCTTTCCATTTTTTTTATCATCTTATTTTATTATTTTATATATTTTACACGTAATAAGGCCACAATAAAATAAAGGTTAAATAAAATAAAAAAATAAAACCAGAAGACCAGAGATAATTACAGACACTTGTGATAAACTGAAGTAGCTACCCAAAAAGGCCCCTAGATGTCATGTGAGAAAATTCCCCAAAACATTGAAAGTTACCAAAGTTCTGGTAGTTTACTGGTACGCTTTCAATGTTATCAGTAATATACCCTCCCTTTGCAACCCTAGCTATTGCTGAAAACAGGTTAGTGTTGAGGCTAGGGTTAGGGCTAGAGTTAGGTTTAGGGGCTAGGGGTAGGGGGTAGTGCTAGGGTTAAGGTTAGTGTTCCTCGTTGACTGATTAAGTGTTGCTAACTCTGTTGGCTATCTGAGGTACTACTCACAGCAAACAGGTGTCCAATGCAGACAGAGAAGCCGATGGCCAGGGCAGCCGAGCCCTTCAGGTCGCTGCGTTTGGAGTCACAGGTGGCGAACACAGTGAAGACGAGCTCAAAGGTGATGAAGAATTCTATCACCAGGGCGTGGCCCACAGAGATACTGTTGTTCACCTGGGGAGAGTCACATGACCTTGGTTAGCCAACAGGACAGGATGTAAGGCCCATGCAGTAGACATGAGGACAAGGTCTGAGTCCCAAATGGCACCCTATTTCCTATAAAGTAGAACCCTTTCTGTGGAAAGGGTTCTACATGGAACCCAAAAGGGTTCTACCTGGAATCAAAAAAGGTTCTTTAAAGGATTCCCACTGGGCACACACTGGTTGAATCAACGTTGTTTCCATGTAATTTCATAGAAATGACGTTGAACCAACGTGGAATAGATGTTGAATTGACGTCTGTGCCCACTGGGTTAGCTTATGGGGCCAGCCAAAGAACATATTTAGGCTCTAGATATAGCACATTTTATTCTAAGAGTGTAATTTCTCTTCAATGATGATGAAAACAGTTAACATACCCTATAGTCAGTTTGAATAAGTCAACAGAATTGGCTTTCAGACAAAAAACTCCAAACACTCAACTTCTATTCATTCTACAATTAAGACGACTATTTCAGTCACATCCAGATTATCAATGTTAAAGTCCAGAGTCAATCTCCCCCCTCCTCCTTACTGATGTGACGCCCATCTCGCCCCTGACGGTGCCTGGAGTAACCCCGTAGAGCACAGCCGCCCCCACTACCGCCCCCAGACACTGGGCCAGCACGTAAAACACAGCCTTTGCCAAGCTGAGTCTCCGAGTCACCACCATGGCAATAGTCACCGCAGGGTTAATATGGGCTCCGCTGATGTGTCCGAAGCACTGGACCAGGGTGGCGATACTGAGTCCAAAGCAAAGGGAGATGAGGACTAGGTCAGGGTGGGGTGGATGCTCCTCCTTGACTGCCCAGTTGATGGTGGAACCCAGGCTGAGGAGGACGAAGATCATCATGGCCAAGAACTCCGCCCCGACGGAACGCCAGAACTCCTGCGTCCAGATCCCCTTGAAGGCAGCCATGATCTGGTCACTACAGCAACACGCAGGCCAGGAAGGAGAAGAGATGGGTTGCCACTGTTCGGTACGTAAAGGACTGACACACCGGGACCAACACGTCCTGCAGAGAGGGAGAGAGAGAGAGACCGAGAGAGAGGAGAGAGGATGAGGATGAGGGAGAGGATAAAGAAGAGGAGAGAGAGGGTAAGGTGGAGGGGAAAGAAAGAAAGAGTGAGACAGAGAGAAGGAAGGAAGGAAAGGGTAGAACAAAAACAGTGTGAGAAAGGAGACAAAGGGAAAGCAGGTGCCCTCCAGCTTCACTCACTGGTAGCTTAGAAATATAAGTTTCTTTTACAAAAATTTGAACAACAAATTTGGCCCTGCAGTGCACTGTTAATAGATGATGCTGATGATGTTTTGTGTGTATCCATCAACATCCCCACACTGCTGATATAGGCTACACTGCTCAGTTTGGGTAGGGAACAGACAGATCATCGCTGATTATAATAGCCTATCTGTCCATTATGAAGCCTTTCGAGTTTCTCCGCCATTCTAGTTCTAATTTGCGCGCAATTCTTATGGAAATTTGTTCCATTTGAGTGGCTCGCTCTGCGCACTCCACATTCCGGGATGCACCAGATGGGAAAGAAGCAAGGGGGGAGAAGAGAGACGATGGGACAACAGAGATCGTAAACAACCACCATACAGAATGAGAATGAGAGGTGCAGACCGGAGCCTACCAAAATGGGCAGGACAGAGAACACAACAGAAAAACAACTAAATAATACAACGCCATTTTCGTTATAAAAATAACCAAGGTTATATATTAGGCTGCAAAAGGGACACATTATATTTTATATTCACGTATGTGGTGAGAATAACTAATCATGCAGGTAGGCTGAAAATAAATCCATATCACCAAGGAATAAATAGGTTACCCTATCAGAGAAACTTAACGGAAAATCCATCAATAAACCAATAGTATAGGCCATGAAAGACAAACTTACCGGCAACATTCATTCCTTACATTTTCTGAAATATTAACGCGGGTATAATCTCCACTCAAACGTATGCCTATTTGTGATGGCATATTACCCACAAACTATAAGCTAGGCTACATGTAAAAACAAGTAAATCTAAAAGTGTAACATTCCAAAGCACATGCACCTGCCACAGACGCAAGTCGGAGACAGAACTATTCTAATCAAGACTTTCCTTGTACTCTTTTGTAGCTACTTACGTGGGAATGGTGCGTCTGGAGGAGTGGAGAAGTGTGTGTGAGTGAGTTTGGAAGTTTGGAAGCGACCTTGAAGGCAGTGGTGGAAAAGTACCCAATTGCCATACTTGAGTAAAAGTAAAGATAACTTAATAGAAAATGACTCAATTGAAAGGGAAAGTGTAAAATGCTACTTGAGTAAAAGTCTAAAATTATTTGGTTTTAAATATACTTAAGTATCAAAAGTAAATGTAATTGCTAAAATATACTTATAATATTAAGCAAACCAGATGGCACGATTTTTATTTATTTTATTTACTGATAGCCAAGGGCACACTCCAACACTCAGACATAATTTACATTGAAGCATGTGTGTTTAGTGAGTCCGCCAGAAAAGAGGCAGCAGGGATGACCAGGGATGTTCTCTTGATAAGTGTGCGAATTGGACCATTTTCCTGTCCTGCGAAGCATTCAAAATGTAACATGTACTTTTGGGTGTCAGAGAAAATGTATGGAGTAGAAAGTACATTAATTTCTTTAGTAATGTAGTGAAGTAAAAGTAAAAGTAGTCAAAACATATAAATAGAAAACGACTTAAGTAGTACTTTTACTTAAGTACAGTGAGGGAAAAAAGTATTTGATCCCCTGATGATTTTGTATGTTTGCCCACTGACAAAGAAATTATCAGTCTATAATTTTAATGGTAGGTTTATTTGAACAGTGAGAGACAGAATACCCAGAAAAACACATGTAAAACATGTTATAAATTTATTTGCATTTTTAATGAGGGAAATCAGTATTTGACTCCTCTGCAAAACATGACTTAGAACTTGGTGACAAAACCCTTGTTGGCAATCACAGAGGTCAGACGTTTCTTGTAGTTGGCCACCAGGTTTGCACACATCTCAGGAGGGATTTTGTCCCACTCCTCTTTGCAGATCTTCTCCAAGTCATTAAGGTTTCGAGGCTGACGTTTGGCAACTCAAACCTTCAGCTCCCTCCACAGATTTTCTATGGGATTAGGGTCTGGAGACTGGCTAGGCCACTCCGGGACCTTAATGAGCTTCTTCTTGAGCCACTCCTTTGTTGCCTTGGCCGTGTGTTTTGGGTCATTGTCATGCTGGAATACTCCTCCACGACCCATTTTCAATGCCCTGTCTGAGGGAAGGAGGTTCTCACCCAAGTTTTGACGGTACATGGCCCCGTCCATTGTCCCTTTGATGCGGTGAAGTTGTCCTGTCCCCTTAGCAGAAAACACCCCCAAAGCATAATGTTTCCACCTCCATGTTTGACGGTGGGGATGGTGTTCTTGGGGTCATAGGCATTATTCCTCCTCCTCCAAACACGGCGAGTTCAGTTGATGCCAAAGAGCTCAATTTTGGTCTCATCTGACCACAACACTTTCACCCAGTTCTCCTCTGAATCATTCAGATGTTCATTGGCAAACTTCAGACGGCCCTGTATATGTGCTTTCTTGAGCAGGGGGACCTTGCGGGCGCTGCAGGATTTCAGTCCTTCACGGCGTAGTGTGTTACCAATTGTTTTCTTGGTGACTATGGTCCCAGCTGCCTTGAGATCATTGACAATATCCTCCTGTGTAGTTCTGGGCTGATTCCTCACCGTTCTCATGATCATTGCAACTCCACGAGGTGAGATCTTGCATGGAGCCCCAGATCGAGGGAGATTGACAGTTATTTTGTGTTTCTTCCATTTGTGAATAATCGCACCAACTGATGTCACCTTCTCACCAAGCTGCTTGGCGATGGTCTTGTAGCCCATTCCAGCCTTGTGTAGGTCTACAATCTTGTCCCTGACATCCTTGGAGAGCTCTTTGGTCTTGGCCATGGTGGAGAGTTTGGAATCTGATTGATTGATTGCTTCTGTGGACAGGTGTCTTTTATACAGGTAACAAGCTGAGATTAGGAGCACTCCCTTTAAGAGTGTGCTCCTAATCTCAGCTCGTTACCTGTATAAAAGACACCTTGGAGCCAGAAATCTTTCTGATTGAGAGGGGGTCAAATACTTATTTCCCTCATTAAAATGCAAATCAATTTATAACATTTATGACATGCGTTTTTCTGGATTTATTTGTTGTTATTCTGTCTCTCACTGTTCAAATAAACCTACCATTAAAATTATAGACTGATCATTTCTTTGTCAGTGGGCAAATGTACAAAATCAAAATGAAATACTTTTTTCCCTCACTGTACTATACACCACTGCTTTAAGGATATTTAACCCTTTTTTTCCAAATTTTCGCCTAAAATGACATACCCAAATCTAACTGCCTGTAGCTCCGGACCTGAAGCAAGGACATGCATATTCTTGATACCATTTGAAAGGAAACACTTTGAAGTTTGTGGAAATGTGAAATGAATCTAGGAGAATATAAACAATATAATATTGCAGTTTAGGCGCAATTTAGATTTTGGCCACTAAATGGCAGCAGTGTGTGTGTGCAAAGTTTCAGGATCCAGTGAACCATAGCAATACTAGACTATTTTGTATGAAGTCTGCCCAAATGTGTCGAATTGGTCAATTGAAGTACATAACTATAGAGAACATACTAAAATGATATGGCAATACAAAATGTAAGTTTACACACTCCTAGGAATGTCATACATGATGGATCATTAGCTTATACACTAACTTTCACACATCTAGACCGGGCGGGGTGGGTGTGGAGCCAGAGACAGCAAGGGTTCAAACTGTAGAACTCAGTTCTTACATTTGAATATAAAAATTGATTTTATTAAACAAAACTATGCTATATTTTAATCTCTGGGACCCTCAGGATGACAAATCAGAGCAAGATTACTGAATGTAAGTACATTATTTACCTTCAGAGGTGAATGTATTAGACCAGTTGCCGTGATACGTTTTCTGTTGTTGTGCACTCTCCTCATACAATAGCATGGTGTTTTTTTCACTGTAATAGCTACTGTAAATTGGACAGTGCAGTTAGATTAACAAGAATGTAAGCTTTCTGCCCATATAAAACTTGACCATGTCCTGGAAAGTTTGCTGTTACTTACAACAGTCATGCTAATCACATTAATAATAACAATATGCCATTTAGCAGACACTTTTATCCAAAGCGACTTACAGTCATGTGTGCATACATTTTTACGTATGGGTGGTCCCGGGGTTCGAACCCACTACCCTGGCGTTACAAGCGCCATGCTCTACCAATTGAGCTACAGAGGACCACGTTAGCTCAACCGTCCCGTATAAGGGACACCGATCCCGTAGAGGTTAAAAAGATCTAACCACACATTTCCAACCCAGTCAGCTCGTGAGGTAGCCCTTGATCATGACTCTCAGTTTCATTACGTTACACACAAAGGCATCTTCTATACAGGGGAGTTCTGTTAAGAGCCCAGACGCTAGGTCTGAACAACCCCCTTTTGAATATTGAATGGCTCCCTGTGTGTTTATGCTAGAGACTTACCGTTTCTTGTAGTGGCTGCAGCTCAATCCCCTATTTCCGCTGATATAAAGTTTGCTCCTATTCCATATCATGGGGCTTGTGAAAGCGGCCTTTTTCTACACATGAGAGCATCCAGACAAGACAATTATAACGAAATGGTGTGTAAGTTGTTTTGCTCTGCAATGCACACACGCTTCAGGGGAGTCATCTGAAAGTAACCCAGTACCAGGCTGTAAAATGTGCTAAAAGTACATAGGGGTCAAATGGGTCATGAATAAGGTGACCAAACATGGGTCTAGAAATCTATATATTTGTCTCTTGTTTTCTTATATCTCTCAGATATAGGACAGACACTTCAAAACCTTGTTCCTTATGATTAATTTTTTGACTGTTTGTTTTGCCATGTACAAATGTGTTATTCAATGCATTTCTATGGGCAATAGCATTAGAGGCCAAATTCAATGTTTCATATATATATATATATATATATATATATATATATATATATATATATATATTTTAATACCTTACTAAATTCATGCAAATGTTTTCGTTTTACAGCAAATTTCCTGCAATTCTACAAATTTTTCCATAGAGTGGAGAGAAATGTTTGCAGTTTTTTGTATGATATCTGAATGAGACTGACTAACAAAATCAATGGGGGCCCCTGGGCTCTAATTCAACCTTTATTACTACAAATTTAGATAGCTTGCTGCTAGACTAACTTACCAACCTAAAACATTTTTGCTGGCATCGGCTAATTGAGTGACTATAAGTGACTTGACATAACAAGAGAAAAACTCTTGATGCACATCCAAATGTCAAAATTGCACCTTTTGTATTTTACGATTCTACCTCGTAAGTTTAGACCCCGACTGATCCAAAGGCCTTCAAAAAACGAAACGTTAAATTGATACACACCATTATGGGGTCAGGGTTAGTGTTACCACATGGCCATATCTCCATGTTACAGCGTATGTTTACGGAAGACAGAGGGAAGACAGAGGGACCACCTGTGCTATTAGCTATCTAGCATGCTCCCAACACCTGTGTGTAATGAAAGAAGGCCACCAGAAATGTGTTGTCGCTGAAAAATACTGTTAGCTGCAACTGTGATAAAGCCGGTTAAAACAGTGTACATTAAGTGTGTATTTTGCATTTGTGAAATTATTGTGATGTGATATTAAAGTAAAATACTTTATGTTTGTAGAACCGTATCGCAATTGAGAACCGATTACGTTTAGATGGAGTATTTGGCAGTTTTGGCTGCCAGAGCCAGTCTACCTCTGAAAATAACATATCAGGTCCTTAAGGAGTAACGGTAATGTTAGGTTCCTTAAGAGTACATCTTGGGCTACTCACAAGGGTAACAGAGTAACAGGCTATAACTCTTTCAGTACTGAACAATGCTGAGCAGAAGAACTAAAGAAACAACCAAAAAACAATAGGCCTAATGAAACAACAATTAACCAAATGTTTCTATACACTTAAGTCATTTAGCAGACTCTCTTATCCAGAGCGACTTACAATAGTGAGTGCATGCATTTTCATATTGGTCCCCCATGGGAATCAAACCCACAACCCTAGCGTTGCAAGCACCATGGTCTACGAACTGAGCTACACGGGACTAGCATAGCAACGCAACAACCTAAAACCACCACAATAGGCCTAATGAAATATAGGTGATTTTTATAGGGTAGGCTAATTACGGTTGCCATTGCTATGGCAGCAGGATGACAGCAGGTAAAGCATAACTCGAAGTGATAGGCCTACAGTATTAGGCTACATGTCAGAAAGATTGTGACACGTGGCATATTTGTCCATATTCAATATGTACTCATATATTGCATTTTTATGGATAATTTAATTAACCCTAACCTTAAATCCTTCAATCAAATGAATATAATTAATGTTTCTATTTATTGCAAGACACTATTTTGATTGAGGGACACATAGGCTTCTTCTCAAGAAATTCACATTGTACCAAGAGATCAGAATTGTGCATAATTGACTAAAACTGAGTAACCATATATTGTCCTTCAAATGTTTAACAAAATTATATTTTCACCAAAAGCAGATAACATTTTCATTGGAATGTTGCCTATTCTAACGTTTTTTTTTTTTTAAACATTCCAAGGAAAGCATTGTAAAATTCCTCTGACTCATGATACAATGTTGCAAACAAAGCTTCAGAAACACTGTATAGGCCTATATCTCAGACAGACCAAGCATCAAACACACCAGACAAGCCCACTTAAATAATGATCTTAAATGCACCTTATAAAAAAAATATCCAGATTATCAACCCAAGGCGATGCATGGAAGCATCATATAATAAACTGTTCACCTGTTAACTGGTCCTTAACGCTTGCATCCCCAAGACGCACCCTTTCGCCCTACTCACCTCAGGCGCTCTGCTGCCCCGCTCTCAGTTGTCATGCCTGCGATGCAGCCGACCCTGATTGTGTGTGTGTGTGTATGTGACTTTATAGCTTTGTCTATGTTGTGTGTGTTCTCCCCATCCCTTTGGCTCCTCTCATCTTTCTCACCTCCCTCATCTCCCCCTTCTCCCCTCCCCCTCCTCCCGTCACCGTGCAGCAGCACCCCTCTAGAGGAGCCATGGACACAAACAAAGAAAGTTTGAGCAGAACCAACTTTGACAGGACAGAGAATGAGGTTGAGAAGGGAGAGCAATAGAGAACAGTACTGTAGCGGGGAGAGCTTTAATCTGCTTTTCTCTTCTCTAATACACATAGATGTTGTCCTTTTTTAACAGAAGAGTTTCTTATTCTCTACTTAATCCGAGTTTATTTAGAGATTAATTCTAGTTTCAGGGCTATCTTTTGTGTTTGAGGGGTTCAATATGTGTTTTGAGTGTGTATTTTAGGATTGTTTTCAGTTCAAAGTGGGGTTCACAGTGTACATGGCTTATAGAGTGTGTGTCTGATTGGTGGGTGTATGAAGACTGAGGCAGCAAAGACACATTACTCATTCATGCCTGCTGCAGATTCCTGAAAGAGTGAAAGCCCACAGAATGAAACACTGGCCGGTCCAGTCAGCCAAATCAATAGTTCTGAATAGAGGGGAGAGAAGAGAGAGGAGAGGACTGAAAAGGGTTCTCTTCCACCCCTCTCTAGTCCCATCAAACCCCTTACCTCCCCCTTTCCCTCCCCTTCTCTCCCAACCTCAACCCCTTACAGAGCCCCACTCTTTCATACTGTAGAGAAGCTTGGCAATAGCAGTTCCCCTAGTGTACACCTCAGATAGCGAGAGAAGGATAAGAGGGAGGGAGAGAACGTAAGAAAAATTGTAAAAGGGATCATTCATCACACCTTTTTCTTGTTCAAGAAACCTAGAATGGCTGAAGTCAAAACCTTCCAGCCTTTATCTGAACTGACAGCCTGGTATCATAGACTAGACGTAACATATCATTAAATCCGGGACACTCCAATTAGTATGATATGTTACGTTTTGTAGGGTTACAGAAGACAGATTATTACTAAAGGCAAAAACGAAAGTTAGACGTATAACGTGAACGTCTAGCAACCCAAAGGTTGCGAGTTGAAATTTCATCATGGACAACTTTTGTATTTTAGCAACTTTTCAACTACTTACTACTTTTTAGCTACTTTGCAAGTACTTAGCATGTTAGCTAAACCTTCCCCTAACCCTAACCTTAACCCTTTTAGCAAACCCTTCCCTAACCTTAACCCTTTAACCTAACTTGTAAACTTAACCCTAACCTTAACCCTAACCCATAACTCTAACCCCTAGCCTAGCTAATATTAGCCAGCTAGCTAACGTTAGCCACATAGCTAGAATTCGTAACATAATGATATTACGTTTGGCAAATTCGTAACATATTGCACGTTTTGTAAATTCGTAACATATTGTACATTTTGCAAATTCGTGACATGTAATACGTATTGTAATTCGTAACATATCATACGAAATGGGTGATGGACATCCACAAATGAATACATACCATACGAAATGTAACATACTAAATGGAGTGTCTCGGATTTGCATACAGAACAATTCGAAATGCTCTGAAGTTGTTTAAGTCCACCTTGACAGAAAAAGAGTCATACAGCCACAGTCATAGAGAGAAAGAGTCCTATGAGTTCACTGCCTTTGACCCCGCAGTTAGATAGTCTATGCCTGTTCAGACATCATCAATGACCTTTTATCATTACATAGATGATGGCCATCAAATACTCGATGATTGCAGGAATCCACCATACTGAGTTTGATTTATCTGGCCTGATGGTGTATGAAGTGTCTGAGCGTTAACTCATTATCAAACCACACACGGTCTCTCTCTCCCTGCACCCCTACAGAGAGGCTAATCTGGGTCTGACTCTGGGCCAGAACACACATACACATGCAAAAACACACACACACACACAAACAGGCACAAAGACATGCATGCACGCACACATGCACACACATTAGGGGTAAGCGTTTAAACAGTTGGGTTGGCTGAGAGAAGGGTGATGGTTGGAGGAGAGGAGCTGGAGGTACATTGGTGCCAAGCAAACACAATGGAGTGTAAGATTTTGCACACACACAACAACAACAAAAACACTCATACACGCACCATACTGGGGACATTGTTGGGTCATGGCCCCACTTTCCTGATATGCACAGAGATGTCCAAGTTATTAGTGTGTTGAGTATTACATTTATTTGAATTGTATTCCCATGGTGTTGTGGTTGAATTTCAAGGGATATATGGCTCTCTATGGCATTCTGTATTTATCAGTATAACAGGACACTAGTGGCAGACGATCACATTACATCAGGGATCATCAACTAGATTCAGCAGCGGGCAGATTTTTTCTTGAGTGGATGGTCCGGTGGCCGGAACATAATTACAAATCATTTGTAGACTGCAAACTGACCACAAGAATCCCAAAGAAATATAATATTTGACGAAAACATAAACATTTCAAACCTTGCTTACATTTGTATATACTGAACAAAAATATAAACGCAACATGCAACAATTTAAAATTATTTTACTGCGTTACAGTTCATATAAGGAAATGTGTCAATTGAAATGAATTCATTAGGCCCTATTCTATGGACTTTACATGACTGGTCAGGGGCGCAGCCATCGGTGGGCCTGGGAGGGCATGGGCCCACCTACTGGGAAGCCAGGCCCAGCCAATCAGAATGAGTTTTTCCCCACAAAAGGGTTTTATTACAGACAGAAATACTCCTCAGTTTCATCAGCTGTCCGGGTGGCTGGTCTCAGACGATCCCACAAGTGAAGAAGCCGGATGTGGAGGTAATGGGCTGGCCTGGTTACACGTGGTCTGTGGTTGTGTGTCCAGTTGGACTCCATATGTGGCATTGTGTTGTGTGACAAAACTGCACATTTTAGAGTGGCCTTTTATTGTCCCCAGCACAAGGTGCACCTGTGTAATGATCATGCTGTTTAATCAGCTTCTTGATATGCCACACCTGTCAGGTGGATGGGATTGTCTTCGCAAAGGAGAAATGCTCACTAACAGGGATATAAACAAATTTGTGCACAACATTTCAGAGAAATAAGCTTTTTATGCGTATGGAACATTTCTGGGATCTTTTATTTCAGCTCATGAAACATGGGACGAACACTTTACATGTTGCGTTAATATTTTTGTTCAGTATATATGATCACGTCTCTATTATGCATGGGAATACTTGGGAACAGAGTTCCAAAATTAAAATCAATTGGAGCTGATATCCTGGTGTTTTTACAGTCTTCTATGTCCAAAAATGGAACTTGCTTTTTCTGCTCAAAAAACTTGGGGGGCCAAATATAACCATTTGTTCCACGGGCCACCAGTTGGGGAACCCTGCATTACATTAAATAGTTTGATTAAGAGCTATACCTATAGAGGGAAGCAGAGTTCTTTAGAAAGCACATTCACTGAACAAACTCACTGTGGTGGTAAAGTGATTACAATCTCTCGCTCGCGCTCTCTCTCTCATTCTCTCTCTCTCGCCACTCCCTCCTTCTCTCCCATATCCCTCTCTCTCTGGCTATAAAGAATGTTCTACGCGTCAGGGACTGGCTAATTGATCCTGACATTTCCACAGCCTGATCATTGATAATTTCCTCCTGTCATGAATATAAATGTGTGTCAATGTCTCTCTGAGAGTTTGCATTTGACTAGGAGTGTGGTGCATAGTGTGTGCCAGTGGAGGCTGCTGAGGAGAGAAAGGCTCATAATAATGGCTGGAACGGAGTGAATGAAATGGGATCAAACAGTGTTTGATACCATTCCATCTATTCCGCTCAGAATGTCATTAAGAATACCGCATAAATTCCAATTTGAATTGAAGTAGTAAACATGATACATAATTGTAATACAAATTTGAAGTGAAATTCAATTAAATTCAAACGCCTCTTCTGTTCTATATTAGGTGAAGCTTATACAAATATACATCTTGTACATAAAACATCAAACATGTTGTTATATACATACAGTTGAAGTCGGAAGTTTACATCCACTTAAAATGGAGTCATTCAAACTTGTTTTTCAACCACTCCACACATTTCTTATTAACAAACTACAGTTTTGGCAAGTCGGTTAGGACATCTACTTTGTGCATGACACAGGTAATTTTTCCAACAATTGTTTACAGACAGATTATTTCACTTATAATTCACTGTATCACAATTCCAGTGGGTCAGAAGTTTACATACACTAAGTTGACTGTGCCTTTAAACAGCTTGGATAATTCCAGAAAATGATGTCATGGCTTTAGAAGCTTCTGATAGGCTAATTGACATAATTTGAGTCAATTGGAGGTGTACCTGTGGATGTATTTCAAGGCCTACCTTCAAACTCAGTGCCTCTTTGCTTGACATCATGGGAAAATCAAAAGAAATCAGCCAAGACCTCAGAAAAAATTTTGTAGACATCCACAAGTCTGGTTCATCCTTGGGAGCAATTTCCAAACGTCTGAAGGTACCACGTTCATCTGTACAAACAATAGTACGCAAGTATAAACACGTGGAACCACGCAGCAGTCATACCGCTCAGGAAGGAGACGCGTTCTGTCTCCTAGAGATGAACATACTTTGGTGCGAAAAGTGCAAATCAATCCCAGAACAACAGAAAAGGACCTTGTGAAGATGCTGGAGGAAACCGGTACAAAAGTATCTATATCCACAGTAAAACGAGTCCTATATTGACATAACCTGAAAGGCCGCTCAGCAAGGAAGAAGCCACTGCTCCAAATCCGCCATAAAAAAGCCAGACTACGGTTTGCAACTGCACATGGGGACAAAGATTGTACTTTTTGGAGAAATGTCCTCTGGTCTGATGAAACAAAAATAGAACTGTTTGGCCATAATGACCATCGTTATGTTTGGCGGAAAAAGGGGGCCGCTTGCAAGCTGAAGAATACCATCCCAACCATGAAGCACGGGGTGGCAGCATCATGCTGTGGGGGTGCTTTGCTGCAGGAGGGACTGGAGCACGTCACAAAATAGATGGCATCATGAGGAAGGAAAATGAGGTGGATATATTGAAGCAACATCTCAAGACATCAGTCAGGAAGTTAATGCTTGGTTGCAAATGGGTCTTCCAAATGGACAATGACCCCAA